TAGCCAGGATTTTGTATTTCAAAAGGTCAAAAACAATCATTGAGAAAAGCCAAAATCTTTCTGTTTCTTGTTAGTCATCTGGCCATTTCCATAAGTATGGCAATTACACCAAGCCATTGAAAAGATGTGGTTTTGGTTAATTTTATCCCATTTCAAATGTTTTCTCTAGTTGTTACTTTGGTCCTGTGACTCTGAAAGAAACTATCTACATAACTAATCATGCATTCAAAAAATATTCGTATTAAGGTGTTTACAGTTTAATCTTGTATTACAGTATAGTAGAATACTCTATGTTAATTATAAATTCATCGTTTTTAAGGTTTTTCAAATGTGAAAACAATTAAGTATGCTTTTTGAAGTAAGTTCAATTCTAGGACATTACTCACTGGTCTTCATGGTATTTCTGTAATGAATAGTGTAAACCTGGGTCACCAGAATGGTGCAGACATGCTGATTGAAATAGAATGAGTTCAGCATTGTTGGTAGACTATCAGTATCCCAGAGGCTGATCATTCACTACAGCTTGCTAAATATTGTTCCATAATGCCAGTGAGCACTTTTACCCAGGCTACCCTTTTCCTTCCATTAATGTGGTCCTGTTGTGGTCTCCTGTTTCTCTTAAGCTATCCCAGATGAGAGGTGATTATTTCTTACATGAATGAGATTCCCTTTTTTTACCCCCTGCCATAAGATCCTCTTATACTCCTTACTGAAATCAACATGTAAGAGGCAGGATGAAGACAATATACAAACATGTTTCCTGTTATGTGGCCACCATAAGCAGCTTACATGTTCCACCAAGAAGTCACTTTCTTTTAGGCCAGCAGGGATGTTTTTCTATGGTGTGTCTCTTTCTCTTAAAAGCACACCTGATTAAGTTTAGCACAATCAGGATAATCTCCATTTTGATAAAGACAAAGTCAACACATGAGTAACCTAATTTCATGAGTGATTTCCCAGCACAGTCACACATGTTTCTACCCTCAAGAGGAAAGTATTACACAGCAGGTGTGCAAGAGACTGGGAATCCAGGGTATTATCTTAGAACGTTGTCTACCCACCTAAATAAACTTTTAAAATAGTCTTTCGCCAGTCACAGTGGCTCATGCCTGTAATACCAGCACTGTGGGAGGCTGAGGCAGGTAGATCATGAGGTCAGGAGTTTGAGATCAGTCTGGCCAACATGATGAAATCCTGTCTCTACTAAAAATACAAAAATTAGTCAGGCGTGGTGGCACACACCTGTAATCCCAGCTACTAAAATGGCTGAGGCATGAGAATTGCTTGAACCCAGGAGGTGGAGGTTGCAGTGAACCTAGATCACACCACTGCACTCAGCCTGGGTGACAAAGCAAGATTCCATCTTGAAAAAATAAAGCCTTTCTGCTGCTTTTGTTATCTACATAAACAAAGATATCAACTGGATATAATAATTAACTACTTTCCAGTTTTATTCACTACAAATCTTAACTAACATCTGTTTTTCTCGCTCATTTTTCCTGTATGCACCATTTTATACATTCACATACAGAACAATAAAAATATATCCAATTATTCGATTTTGGTTGAATATTCATGAAAATAAGTGTTAAAAATCTTTTTTTTTTTTTCTCTTTGAAGAAGGGTTTTACTGTTGTACTCAAGAGTGTTGTTTCTGGAGACGAAGTTGCCTGTGTTTTAATAGGGAGACTCCAGGGAGAATCCAAATCATAAGCTGATATTTTACATTAATAAATTGAATACAAAGCAGTAAGTATAAATTTGCTTTCAGGATTTTCAAAGTGTTTAGTTTTGTTAGTCACCTAATTAGTTTTGTTGCAATAATTATCTTCTGAAAATATGTACAAACTTGTACTCACACAAAAACACTCACTTCATAATTTTCATACACCTAAGGTTTATCTTCAGAGTAATATGAGTATATTTAACTCTATGTAAATTAAAACTAAAAGTCTATATGCTTGCATGCAGAGACCCCACACATTCAAAGAAAGCTGTATAACAAATTTATTAATAAATTTTCAGGACTCAGAAATATATGGACTTTGTTTCTATTTCTTCTTCTGTTTTTTTTTTTTTTTTTGAGATGGAGTCTCACTCTATCACCCATGCTGGAGTGCAGTGGCGCGATCTCGACTCACTGCAACCTCCACCTCCCAGGTTTGAACAGTTCTCCTGCCTCAGCTGCCAGGCGTGCACCACCATGCCTGGCTAATTTTTGTATTTTTAGTAGAGACGGGGTTTCACCATGTTGGCCAGGCTGGTCTTGAACTCCTAGCCTCAAGCATTCCACCTGCCTTGGCCTCCCAAAGTGGTGGAATTACAGGTGTGAGCCATTGCACGTGGACGTATTTTATTTATATTTTTGTATAATTATTGTGACCATAAAAAAACCTGTAGTAACAATTTAATTTTACATTTTAAAATAAATAAAAGCATATAATTACACTGTTGGTAATACAAAAGATAAATGCTAGAGGTTATGGATACCATATTTACCCTAATGTAATTACTACATATTGTAGGCCTGAGTCAAAAGATGCCATATAAGGCATAAATATGTACACATACTATATAACCACAAATATAAATAACAAATTTCAATAACAAAAAAGAGTAAAAATTTAATCTGTGGAAACAATATTCTTTAACTCATTTGCAGTTTAAAGCCACTGGCAAAGTGATTACTAGAGATGTTATTCCACTATATAACAAATCATATATTGCTACCATCTTGTAGCCGCACCCTTGAGTAAGGTGGGATAGTTTAAAGTCAGTGGCATGATAATGCTTCATTAAATGCACAATAGTCTTAACATGGTTAAAAAATAATAAAATTAACTTCACACAAAATTTTTTTTTTTTTTTTTTGCAGGGGTGGGAGCACAGTTTTGTTCTTGTTGCCCAGTCTGGAGTGCAATGGCATGATCTCGGCTCACCACAACCTCCATCTCCCTGGTTAAAGCAATTCTCCTGCCTCAGCCTCCTGAGTAGCTGGGATTACAGGCATGCACCACCATGGCTGGCTAATTTTTTTGTAATTTTAATAGAGACGGGGTGTCTCCATGTTGGTCAGGCTGGTCTCGAATTCACCACCTCAGGTGATCCACCCACCTCGACCTCCCAATGTGCTGGGATTTCAGGCATCGAGCCCAGCCCTAACAATTTTTAAATGTACTGTATTTTATTACATACAAGTACAATTAGTAAAACAATATACTATTTTAACATACTTTTAACTATTTCTTTGTGACACGATAATGTAGAAAAGTATTGCTCTGAACATCTACCTTATACATTACTTAATAGAGGTTTACTACAAAGAACCTCTCCACTTATATTTTCATTATGCATCTTACATTTTAATGTCCTTACTCTTTTATAGAAAAGGTCATAATGTCCAAATAATTTTTAAATATCTCTAATATCTCTGATGTAGAATTGATCACTTGCTTTCACATGTGAACAAACTAGGAATAACAGCATAATTTGAAAGCTGTATTACATCACTATTCAGTTTTCAAAAAATTTTAAACAAGTATACTTTCAATGTAATTACAATGCTTCCAAAAATCTCTTTTTAAAGTTACATACAAATCATTTATCTAAAAACTGTAGTTGTGGATTAGTTTTTATACTCAAGTGTCAGTGCCTTAGTTATTCTACTGTAGATTCTCTGATATTTATATACATTCTATTTTGAATTAAATGTTTTTATATTTACTGCATCTGCAAAACTATATTTTAGTATAAACTCTCTGGTGTTTTCTAAGATGTAGTTTCTGGGAAAAAAAAAAAAGTGTTTCTAAACGTATTACATTTACAGGACTCATCTCCAATATAAATTTCCTGATGTTGAACAAAGCTTGAGCAACTGCTTCAGGGTTTTCCTCTAGTACAAAATGTGTGCAATAAGATCTCTGATATAAGTAAATGTGCTATAACCCCCTTTATAGTTGTAACAGTTGTCTTCAGGCCGGGCGCGGTGGCTCAAGCCTGTAATCCCAGCACTTTGGGAGGCCGAGACAGGTGGATCACAAGGTCAGGAGATCAAGACCATCCTGGCTAACACGGTGAAACCCCGTCTCTACTAAAAAAATACAAAAAACTAGCCGGGCGTGGTGGCGGGCACCTGTAGTCCCAGCTACTCCGGAGGCTGAGGCAAGAGAATGGTGTAAACCTGGGAGGCGGAGCTTGCAGTGAGCTGAGATCTGGCCACTGCACTCCAGCCTGGGTGACAGAGCCAGACTCGGTCTCAAAAAAAAAAACAGTTGTCTTCATATTTCTTCAGTTTAAAGGCTTATACTTTCTGAAATATTTTTTTTGACAGTAATTATACTCTTAATGTCTTAATGCTTTTATTAAAAGGAACCTTTTTATGTTAAGATATGAGTAGGAGTTAATGGATTTTCCATATTCCTTATATTTGTACAATTTTTCTCAAGGATAATAGCTTTCTTGTGAAATAAGGTGTAAGTACTGATTAAAAGTTTTGCCACATTCTTCACGTTTGTAGGAGTTTTGCCAGTATGAGTTATCTTACCCACAATCAAGTGTGGCCACCATATAAAGGCTCTGTCACATTTTATATATTTCTAGGGTTTCACACCAGAATAATTATTGTTATGTATAGAGAAGTTAGAGAGAGGGGTTGGTAAAAGCACTGTCACTTTTTTTAGGTTTGTGGAATTCCTCTTCAGCATGAATTATCACCAAGTCTCTTTTAAGAATTCAGAAATGGTGGCCAGGCATCATGGTTCATGCCTGTAATCCCAGCACTTTAGGAGGCCAAAGTGAGTGGATCACCTGAGGTCAGGAGTTCGAGACCACCCAGGCAAACATGGTAATATTGCACCTCTACTAAAAATATAAAAATTAGCTGGGCATGGTGGTAGGCACTTGTAATCTCAGCTACTAGAAAAGCTGAGGCAGAATGACTTGAATTCAGGAGGCGGAGGTTGCAGTGAGCCAAGATCATGGCATTGTATTCCAGCTTGGGTGACAAGCATGAAACTTCATCTCAAAAAAAAAAAAAAAAAAAAAAATTGAAAACTTGTTATAGGCTTTGCCACATTCTTCAGGGGCCACATTCTTTAAGGTTTCTGTCCAATATGAATTATGTGTAATAAGGGTTGAGAACTCCCTCTTTGTCACATTCTTTATATTTGTAGGGTTTATGTTCCATATAAATTCTCATATTTAGTAAAAGTGGATAGCTGGTTAAAAACTTTCCCACATTCATCAAACTCATAGGGTTTCTCTCCAGTATGAATTATCTTATGTCTAGTAAGGGTAGAGGAGTGTTTAAGGCTTTGCCACATTTTCACATTTGTAGGGATTCTCTCCCATATGAATTATCTCATGTCTTCTAAGGTTTGAGGATGAAATAAAGGCTTTGCCACATTTATTGCACTTGTATGGTTTCCCTCCAATATGAATTTTCTTATGTGAAAAAAGGGTTGCGGGATGGTTAAAAGCTTTGCCACATTCTTCACATTTGTAAGGTTTCTCTCCAGTATGAATTCTCTTATGTCTAGTAAGGGTAGAGGAGTACTTAAAGCCTTTGCCACATTCTTCACATTTGTAGGGTTTCTCTCCAGTATGAATTCTCTTATGTGTAGTAAGGTGTGAGGACCAGTTGAAGGCTTTGCCACATTCTTCACATTTGTAGGGTTTCTCTCCAGTATGAATTATTTTATGTGTAGAAAGGGAAGAAAGGTACTTAAAGGTTTTGCCACATTCTTCACATTCATAGGGTTTCTCCCCAGTATGAATTCTCTTATGTGTAGTAAGGATAGAGGAGCGCTTAAAGGCCTTGCCACATTCTTCACATTTGTAGGGTTTCTCTCCAGTGTGAATTTGCTTATGTGTAGTAAGGTTAGAGGAGCGGTTAAAGGCTTTGCCACAGTCTTCACATTTGTAGGGCTTCTCTCCAGTATGAATTATCTTATGTGTAGTAAGAATAGAGGACCGACTGAAGGCTTTGCCGCATTCTTCACATTTGTAGGGTTTCTCTCCAGTATGAATTCTCTTATGTTTAGAAAGGGGAGAGGAGCGCTTAAACACTTTGCCACATTCTTCACATTCGTAAGGCTTCTTTCCAGTATGAATTATCTTATGTGCAGTAAGGGAACAGGAGTACTTAAAGGCTTCACCACATTCATCACATTTGTAGGGTTTCTCTCCATTATGAATTTTCTTATGTTTAGTAACGGTAGATGAGTTGTTAAAGGCTTTGCCACATTCTTCACATTTGTAGGGTTTCTCTCCAGTATGAATTATTTTATGTGTAGAAAGGGAAGAAAGGTACTTAAAGGTTTTGCCACATTCTTCACATTCATAGGGTTTCTCCCCAGTATGAATTCTCTTATGTGTAGTAAGGATAGAGGAGCGCTGAAAGGCCTTGCCACATTCTTCACATTTGTAGGGTTTCTCTCCAGTGTGAATTTGCTTATGTGTAGCAAGGTTAGAGGAGCGGTTAAAGGCTTTGCCACAGTCTTCACATTTGTACCATTTCTCTCCAGTATGAATTATCTTATGTGTAGTAAGGTGTGAGGACCAGTTGAAGGCTTTGCCACATTCTTCACATTTGTAGGGTTTCTCTCCAGTATGAATTTTCTTATGTGTAGTAAGGGTTGAGGACTGGTTAAAAGCTTTGCCACATTCTATACATTTGAAAGCTTTTTTTCCAGTATGTCTTGTCTTATGTCTGTTTGAATTTGAAAATTGATGAAAGACTTTCCCATATTTATCACATTGAAATATTTTGCTCTGGGTAGTTGTCAAACATTGGTTAAGTCCACTATAACCTCTTTTGTGCACCTTACACTCATCCACACCTTCACAGCCTTTTTTAAACTGTAAATTGTCATGTCCATATTTTTCATATCTTCTCAGTATCAGTTTTTGGAAAGAATCTTTTATGCTCTGCTCTGGCCAAAGGTCTTGGGTAAAACGAGAACACAGAACTGAAAGAAACCATAAAAACATATTACTTCAATTGCTAGACTCAGATAAATATACTTTATAAATCAAACCTATATAAGTATACATACTACATAAGCAAGATGACATAGTAAAATATCACAAGCTGTAATTTCTTCCTGGACATATAAATTTAACCAAACATACTGCCCAAAATACATTTGTAAAAAATTTATAATTAAGTGTGTGAAAGGCCCCAGGTGAGCACAATGCAAAGAGCCACATAGAATAAAAACAAAAGCCTGTTACATATACCCAACAGAGCTCTTCCTGCTCTCCAGTATAACATTGTGCTTTTAAAAGTAAATTGTTGGTCAGGAATGATGGCTCATGCCAGTAATTTCAGCACATTGGGGGGTTGACATGGGTTGATCATGAGGTCAGGAGTTCAAAGGGAGCCTGGCCAAGATGGTGAGACCCTGTCTCTACTAAAACTACAAAAAATTAGACAGGTGTGGTGGCAGGCACTTGTAATCTCAGCTACTCAGGAGGGTGAGGCAGAATATTGTTTGAACTCAGGAGGCAGAGGTTGCAGTGAGCCGACATCATGCCACTGCACTCCAACCTGGGTGACAGAGTGAGAGTCTCTAATGGTAGATATTGTAGTGACCAAGATCATGCCTCTGAATTCCAGCATAGGTAACAGGGTGAGACTCTGTCTCCCTCTCTCTCTCTCTCTCTCTCACACACATACACACACACACACACACACACACACAAATGTAAATTGCCAAATCCTGGTTTCTTTTTTAAAAAACAAGAAAAATATTGGCACATACATCTTTATTTTTGGCTTTTAGGGGTTTTTCTAGACACTGGTAAATGTCTCCCATGACATAAAACGCTGAAGGAAATGGTGATATAAGTTGGATTAACAGTTTGAGTCTGCTGCGTCTAAAGATAAATGTTGGGGCCGGGCGCGGTGGCTCAAGCCTGTAATCCCAGCACTTTGGGAGGCCGAGACAGGCGGATCACGAGGTCAGGAGATCAAGACCATCCTGGCTAACACGGTGAAACCCCGTCTCTACTAAAAAATACAAAAAACTAGCCGGGCGAGGTGGCGGGCGCCTGTAGTCCCAGCTACTCGGGAGGCTGAGGCAGGAGAATGGCCTGAACCCGGGAGGCGGAGCTTGCAGTGAGCTGAGATCCGGCCACTGCACTCCAGCCTGGGCGACAGAGCGAGACTCCGTCTCAAAAAATAAAAATAAAAAAATAAAAAAATAAAGATAAATGTTACAGAAGCAGAGATACCGCCCTACCCCAAACAGGGAATAGGTATAGCAAGTAATTACTGACTATTAAGAAGAAATATGAATAAGCCAATTTAACTAAACAATAAACACAAAATTTTAGACAAGACACATCCTAAAAACGTGTTTGAGAAATTCCCAAAATCTCTAGCCATGACAACTGATTTCAGACTATGTCAGGATAGTTATATTTTAAAGATTCTAACAGGTAGCTTTTTGTTAATGTCCAAATCTCAATCAAAGATTACAGTGAATACAAAATATTAGAGCAACATGGCCCCATCAGTGAGTGAAGATTATACCTCTGCACTCCAGCCTGGACAACAGAGGAAGACTGTCTGAAAAATATAATAAAATAGGGCCAGCATGGTGGCTCATGCCTGTAATCCCAGCACTTTGAGAGGCTGAGGTGAGTGGATCATTTGAGGTCAGGAGTTCAAGATTAGCCTGGCGAACATGGTGAAACCTTTTATGTACTAAAAATACATAAAATTAGCCGAGTGTGGTTGCGGGCACCTATAATCCCAGCTACTTGACAGTCTGAGGCAAGAGAATTGCTTGAACCTGGGAGATGGAGGTTGCAGTGAACAAAGATTGCACAACTGCACTCCAGCCGAGGCAACAGAGAGAGACTCCGTCTCAGAAAAATAAATAAATAAATAAATAAAATAAGTTGAATATTCAGCAAGTTAAGTAGGAACACAGACAACTATCAAAGATCAGAAAAATGAGAATAACAACCAGAAACATTTAAATAGCAAAAAACAAAAATTGTGGTTATAAAAAATATTTAAAAACTGGAAAATTTCTTTAAAAATGAGGTAAACATGAGGAAGCTGAACAAACAAACTAGGATACACACAAAGATATTTATAACAAACATACATATAAGCAAAATTTCAAAAATCACGGATTAGAGAATTTTGGGAGCTGTAAGATAAAAATGATGTGTCATTTATAAGCATAGTCTCATGAGATAACAAGTCAATTTAGAAAAATATTTTTTGCAGGTGAGAAGGAAACTGTGATATTGTTAAAGTTAAAATAATAATAATAATAATAATAAAAGCTGTCAAGTGAGAATAATACCATCACCACAATTGTACTACCAAATAAAAATAAGTACTTCCAAACTAACCAAATCCTGAGAACCTACATTGGCACTGCATATGCCCTATATATCAAAGATACTGAAAGGAGTTTCTTCCACTGAAAACAATATAATGCAAGAAAACAACACATAATCATATGAAAATATGTAACTTTCTGGGAAAGATATGCACATACACAAAAATGGAATTTGTTACTTAACATTACCATAATGGTGCAGAAAACATTTTTAATTATTAATTTAAAAAATAGAAATTATTACAAACATCTGTTAATGAATATACAAACATAAAAAATATAATTAGCCAAATCAATAACAAAGTGAAGGCAGATGTAATGATGAAAATATTTTGTATGAAACTTAAGTTGATTTTTTACCACATTTAAATATATTGTTGGATCTTTTAGAGGTTTTATGTAAACTCAGAAGGTATCACTTAGAAAATATCTGTACAGATACACAAAAGAAAATAAGAAACTGAAAGCATGTCAATACAAAAATTAAAAAAAAAAAAAGAAAAAGAAAATGAGAGACAAAGACACAAGAATCAAATAAAACAATAAAATAACACAAGTTTTTCTTTTGCAGAAAACTATTTAAATATATATAATTATCTCTCCAATTAAGAGACACACTTTAAATAAAAAGGATTATCAAAAATTTTTAAAAATCAAGATTCAACTTGCCTTTTTACAAGAGTCAGTTGAGATCTAATGATAAAAAAAAGCCTGAAAGTGGCAAGACGGAAGTAGAAATTTCATGTAAATATTAACCAAATGAGAGCAGAAGGGCTCAAAATAATATTACACAAGCTACATCTTAACTAAGAAACTGTCATATTTTATAAAACGTACTTTAATTCAAAACTTCAAGAAGACAAAGAAGGCATTAAACAACATATGCATTCTTTCACTGGGAATCTATGACAAATTTGTTTATACATGTGTGTATTTGCACGTATGCATCTCATATTAGAGTTTCAACTATATAAAGCAAATACAAAATTGAATACACACAGATAGCAATATAACTATAGTAGGATATTTCAATCCTTCATTTTCTGTAATAATAATAAAACAAGACAGAATATTAACAAGGGAACAGAGGACTAGAAGGCAGTAAAAAACCATTATTTCTAATGAAGATAAACAGAACACTCCTCAACAACATCAGGATACACAGCCTTCTCAATAGCTCATAGAGAATTCTCCTATATAGACCACCTCTTAGACCAAAAATGAAGCCTTAACACATTTTTTAAAACTGAAATTTTATAGACTACTTCCTATGACAAAAATGGAATTACAGTGTAAAACAATAATATAAATAATTGATAAATTTACAAATATATAGAAATGATAAAACACGCTCTTGAGCATGCACTTGTTCAAAAAACTGAGCTGTGTGCAGTGGCTCACACCTGTAATCCCAGCACTCTGGGAGGCTGACGTGGGTGAATTTAACTCCATCTCAAAAACAAACAATTGAAAAAGAAATAATATTGTGAAGATGTCTGTACTGCTCAATTTAATCTACAGATTTAATGCAATGTTTTTCAAATGTCTCACTGCATTTTTGAAGAAATACAAACAACAAATCCAAAAGTATATGGAATCTAAAGAGACAATAAACTACCCAACAATCTACAAAAAAAAGGAACAATGTTAGAGGCATTACCATTTCTGATTTCAAAACACATCAAAAAGCTACAGAATTAAAATAATTTGTTATGAGTAAAAAGTTAAACAAGTAGACTAATGAAACAGAAGGCAGCACATTCATTAACTTTTGCATAATTATTGCAGCATTGTTACTGAAAGGTAATAGGTAAAAGCAATGCAAATTTCTGTCACCAAATCATTCAGTAGATACAAAAATACAGAACTCTCATTAAGCTATTTAATGAAATGAAATATAACCTTAGGACTTTGGACGGCCAAGGTGGGCCAATTACTCGATCCCACAAGTTCAAGATCAGCCTGGGCAACATGGCAAAACTCTGTCTCTACAAAAAATAAAAAAAAAGCTAGCTGGGTGTGCGGGCACATTCATGTAACCCAGCTACTTAAGAGGCTGAATGGAGAGGATCATCTGATTTTGGGAGGTTCGAGCAGCCGTGAGCCATGCAAATATGCCTGGTTGACAGAGTGAGACCCTATCTCAAAAATACATGAGGCCAGGCACAGTGGCTGACACCTCTAATCCCAACACTTTGGGAGGCCAATGCAGGCAGATTACCTGAGGTCAGGAGTTCAAGATGAGCCTGGCCATCATGGGAAAACCCCATCTCTACTAAAAATACAAGAAATTATCCAGGTGTGGTGGCATGCGCCTGTAATCCCAGCTACTTGGGAGGCTGAGGCAGAAGAATCACTTGAACCCAGGAGGTGAAGGTTGCAGTGAGTTGAGATTGCACCATTGTACTCCAGCCTGGGTAACAAGAGTGAAACGCTCTCTCAAAAAATAAAATAAATAAATAAATAAATAAATAAAATTATATTAAAAAAAGATATAGAATGCCTGAGTGGTTTTTTTCAAAAAGCATATACTATGCTCCCTACAAGAGACTCATTTTAGCATTGAGTCAAATAGGCTGAAAGTAACAGAATGAAAAAAAGTTATA